GGGGTTGAAGGTCTCTGGCAGAGGAGGGGAACCTTTGCTGCACACGGGTACTGCTGGCGCTGGCCGTTTCCCCTGCGCTGTCATACAGACTGGAGTGAGGAGGATGGCAGCACCATGCACACTGCGGAATTGCTGTGCTGGAGGAGTCGCAGACCTCCCCTTGTGCGAAAAGTGTTGGCAAAAAATGTGGGAGGTCCGAAAGCTGTGAAGTGTTGGGCAGCCTGACGTGGGCAGGAGAGGTTCGCTCTGCGGGCACCCGTGAAGATTTCTGTAGTTCTGCCTTTTATCTTGATCCCTGGGAAGGAGGCAGACCTCAGCACGCCTTTGTGCTGCGGGTTTGTGGTGCGGCCGCCCAAGGGGTCGTGTCCTGCTTGGCCTGGTGGACCTTTCTGCCTTGCTTTGTGCTGCCGGGGTGAACTGTCTCCCCCTTCTTTACACGTGGACAATTGGATATCCCCTTAAAGGTCAGCTCTGGGGCCAGTGTATTTACTCGGAGAATTATGTGTAAAAATGTCAAATGACACGCAGCCGGATTGCAGCAGAGGGAGCTGTGTGCAGGGGGTGTGAGCTCGCACGAGTGCAGGGGCTCCTGGCTGCCCTTCGGGTCCTTTCACTCTTTCAGCAGATGCCGAAGGGACTTGGAATCAAGGAGCAAATCATCATGAATAAAACATCAGGATGACTTTTTTCTTCAGCAAAGATTAATGAGCTAATTAATAAATACAAAATTTCAGATACTTAAGTTTACTTTCCAGGGACTTGTTCCTCTCCACAGGAATCTCTGTGGGATAGTTAGGGTCCAGCAAACGTCTTGATTTGATGGAGAAGCTGGACGAGCTAGAAACAGCCGATTTCCCCGTGCAGCTTTCCCTGTGCCTGCTGCAGGGCTGCTGGAGTGAACGGGTGAATCGGTGACTGCAGCCCCTTCACCCTGGTGTGTTCTGTCCCCTGGTGCTTACCGGGGTCATCCAGGGACACCCTTCCTCGTGCCGGGACCATGCCATCCAGCCACGGCCAGGCTGATGGCTGCTGAGGGCAGTCTGGGCAGCCTAGAGCCACAGTTACGGGAGGCTTTTCTGCTGTTTCCCATTCCCTCCTCATCCACAGAGGAGACTTTCTGCCCCCCAGCCAGGACAGCTTGTGGCACAGCCCCAGGAGAGCTGTGAAGACCTTACTTGGTGTGTTCGGCCACTGGGGAGGTCAGTTTTTCTAATCAATTCTAATTTTCCCTCTAATCAATGCAAAGCAGAACAAGGGGCTCCAACAGAAACTTTTATCAAGGTACCAGGTACAAAGTTTATTTTCCCTACTAAAATATTTAGTGTCTTTCTTGAATAGCACCTTTGCAGCCCCTTCCTCCCTGCTCTTGCTGGTGAATGCTCTGGCCGTGGGCAGATCATTGCGTCCGAGCCACTGCTGCCTTGCTTTGGGCGGTCGGGGCATGCGGTGTCCTTGGCTGGCTCCTGAGATTCTGCAGACAGTCTGACAGGTCCAGCTGGCTTTCTGCTGGTGCGGGAGGCAGAGGCTTTTGGAAGAGCTGCTGGGATGCTGCCTGCAGGCAGGGAGCCTGGTGCAGGCAGTGCTGCTGCCTGTCAGCTGCAGGAGCTGTTCGGGCACTGCACGCAGCTCAGCGGTTTGAAGGCAGGAGAAGGTGGTCAGAGAAGGAGGTGGCATGGAGGAGGCTCTGGGAAAGCAGAGATGAGCACAGCAGGGTAAGGCAGGCAGACCCTCCTCTGCTGCCGCAAACAGCAAAGGCATCGGCGTCAGGCAGAGAGCCTGCGGATAGCTGGGAAGCGCGAGCTGCCTGCCGCGTGCTGGAGCCAAACCTGGTTGAAATGGGAATAGTTGGCAAGTGCATCTTCCATAGTGAGATGAACTAAACGGGAGCACACGTGCCAGGGAGAAAGATTCTGCGTGGAGCATGTGCTAACTAGAAATAAGCAGCCAGCTCCTGGGGCACAGGCTGTGTGCTCGGCAGCAGGTAGGGCAGGCAGCTCTCCCGTCTTCCCAGCTGTCTGGGGTGGCGTGGGGCAGAGCCTGTGCCAGGGTGGTTGGAGGTGGCTGGAGAAGCCTTGGTATGTCCTGCAAGCCCTCCTGCTCAAAGATGGTATTTTGCATTTCCCAGAAATCAGTAGCAGCAGGTTCAGAGCACTGGACGTTAGCTGATGCTCAGACCCCTCCACAGCACCGTGGGCGGAGGGTGCCTTTAGGATTTTTTGCTTGTTTTCGGTCAGGGCGTTACTAGCTGCCCACAGATTACAAAGCCATTGTATTTTTATCATCATCTTCTCCCCTTGGGTGAACACTAGCTTGGAGTTTGCCCTATTTCAATCCTGATTCAGAGAGAGGGGACTGGTATCTGCAAAAGAAGCATGCTCTTCAGCTGTTTAAATTGTTGAAGTTTTTACTGCAGCATCACAGGGCAGAGGCAGGAATGAAGTAACCACAACTGAACACGTTCGTGCTGACATGGAACTCGCAGCTGAGATGAATATGAGGACAGAGATAAAATTCCCTGTAAAGTGTGATCTTCTGGTTGCACTGACTTGGCTGTTCAGAACCAAAGTAACCAAAGCGTGGTGGCATGCAGTGTCACTGGCTGTGTCCCTGGGGCTCTGCCCCAGGCCTGGCCGGCTGTGCTGGGCTGCTGCAGGGGACTTCGGGTGCTGCTGGCTGCGGGGAGGGCGTGGGGCGTGCTGCCGGAGCAGGGGGGGATGCTCTGCCCCCAGCAGCGCCGCGATCACCCACTGCTTTCTTTCCTCTCTGCTTTTTCAGCACTGACTCCTGTCACTGACATCCGCACGGATAAAGTTGAGCAGAAGAG